AACACTCACACAACACTCACAGAGAGCTTTGGATGATTAAGGAAATCTGCTGGCATGATTGTTACTATGCTAATACAGAACAATATTTACTAGAACACTGGGCGCAATATGCCAATCAGAGAACATAATGGCCTCTGCACTCCAGGTCCTTAAGAAAGAGGAAGTTTGCACAAACTCCTGCACACAGGTGCTAATCACCTATTAGGCGTAAGTGTAGAGGGAGTGTGTGTCTGTGTGTCTGTGTGTACGAACACGCGTGTCTGTACCCACACTTTGGAAACCTTCCTTCCTTCCTTCCTTCCTTCCTTCCTTCCTTCCTTCCTTCCTTCCTTCCTTCCTTCCTTCCTGAATGAGGACAGGGGAAAGGGAATAAAAATAAGGGAAAGGAGATACATTTGAAAATCTTGTTTATTAAATACATTCAAGAGGAATCCTCAATCTTATAAGGGGAGAAAAAGAAAAAGCTGAGCAAGCCGTCCAACCCAAGGTTTCACATTTGTAGTGTCTTTCTGTCCTATGCTCAGCCCAGATTACAAGGCTTTTATGCATGCAAAGAAATTTAAACTATTTCTTTTTCTAAGAAATCTTCCACAATTTGAAATATTTCTTACAATCATAACCTTTTAAGAGAAAGTTGACTTCCATGAGCTATTTATAAGAAATAATATCATAAACAGAGATTATAACATAGCAAATGTGCTCAAAACAAAATAGAAAAACAAAAAAATACAGAAAATCCTAGCATTGAACATTCTTATATAAAACACTCAAAAACTTAAGAAAATGCAAAAGTACTGTTTTCTGGATAATGTGAGTCAAATGAATTTTTGCTTAGGTTTTTTTCATCTGGGGATTCTTATGCAGAGAAATATTTTACTTCACTTTAAGCAGATGGCTATAAAGACAATTTTTATAGATCTCTAATTCTGTGGCTTTTCCTTCATTACTCTCAAAAGTTACAAGGACACTCAGATCTAAATAGGTTATAAATTACTAAAGTAAATGAATGAGAGGTGCTCATCTCTCCACATTTCAATTGTACAAGCAGCCTGCCTTTTTCTATGGCATTGAAGTCATCACAGAACAGAATCCCCGGTTCCATTGCCAGCCCACACATCCTGAGACTCTTAGATTATGTCTACAGAACTGCCAAAACATCTGGTCATTTCAATCAGTTCGATAAAAGATTTTGCCAAATCAGGAGAAAAATTAGTCAAATTACTCATTTGTGTAGGCAGAACAGTGGATTGTTTTCTCTGGGTAGACAGAATGTGGATATAGCTCAAAAGGTTCTGGTTTTCTCCTCTGAACCAGAATACAGTTCATGGTTCCTGAGGGGTTATGATTTTTATCAGTTAATGTTTGGGAGGTGTTCTGACAGTTCTTCCGTCCAAAATGTAATAAGTATGAAGATGACTTGGCCACATCCCTGAGAGAATTCCGTGTTCATTTGAGTTCCATGTTCTCAAGGCTGGGACCAAGCCAGAACTAAGCCACATTGGTGTTTGCTAACTGTTGAAAAATAAAAGTGGCAGTACTAGAAATCACAGAACAATGCTTTTTCCTCTGGAATCCACTTGTTTCCTGTGTGCATTTGTCCTCAAATCTGACTCAAATCTGACACATGATTTGAGTCACCAAATATAGATGAAGATACAGCTTTTCACTGGAAGCTCCTTGCACAAAATGCTGGTCTACAAAATCAAAATAATATAGTCCTTTTATTTCTTTAGTCTATTGTATAGTATCTTCAATAGGTATTTGGAGTTTCAAATCATCATCTTTATGCACTGCACAGTGACAACCCCAAAGAGAAAAAAATGCTCAGAGAAGGAGGGGGAGATTCAAGAGCCCAGCATTCTGCTCCTATCACCCCATTTTCCTTTCACATTGATATACCGTTCATGGATTAAAAATCCTCTGATCCGAAATTTTTTTTTCTAAAAAAAATTGGTTTAGAAATCTGTATTAGAATACAAGCTCTCACTTGAATAAATGTACTAGAAGAAGAAAACATTTTCATATTAATTTGTTGCAACAATAAGTACGGATAACTTATCCATATCTAATTGTATATGACTGTATTCTCTGCACAGATTTGAAGTTTAGGCAAAAAAAGACTGGAGATAATTAGGAACAATTATTATCATAACTAAAGGCAAAAAAAGACTGGAGATAATTAGGAACAATTATTATCATAACTAAATGATATAAACTTTATATTAAGGTCTGAGGTGACTCATCCTCCTACTGAATATTCCAGAGAACATGCTCTCTTAGGCTGATATCTATGTATAACTTGTTAAATGGCTATAGCTTAATTGTTAAGGGTTAATTGTTAATGAATTAGCAAAAAAGTCTTTCTGTCTCCTTTAAGAGAGAAAATATCTCTGTTTCAAGAACAAAGACATTAAAAGAAACTCAGTTTCATAGTCAGAAGGAAGATGATATTTTTAAAAAGAAAAAGGCTTATTTAGAATCTCAGTATGAGTAGAATCTTCTTTTATGAAAAAAAAGAAATTTTACTCAACTAAACTAAAGGGTAAAATCTGGAGTCCAGTGAAGGAATGATGTTCAGATAGTTTAGAGGGAGGAGTTTAGTTCGGACCTGGGCAGATTGGAAGTTGGTAGGATCACGACTTTTTGGAGAAGTAGGCATATCGACCTGGCCTAAGAATAGGATAAACTAGAGTGATCAACAGGAGGATGGAGGGTAGTTAACTTCTGTGGACAGGACTAGAATTTGCTTTCCTTCTGTAAGACTAATTATTCAGTATAATTTTAGAAAAGTAGGTTTTACAGCCCTGAAGACAATGGCCCGGAGAACAGAAAGGGAGCAGGCCATGAAGGAGGGTGCAGAAAAGAGATCGTGTCACTGAACAGAATATGCAGATTCTCAGGCTTCTCAGAACCTTAAAATTATTAACATGCATAAAGAAAAGTGCTCAACATTGAATTCAAAGTTCAGAGCACCCACACCCCACATACGCACAGGCTAAAGAGCCGACAAGTAGGTTACGGTCCTGATGACAAACTAAGAAGTCATTTACAAGGTAATATTTTGGAGCACAAAGACCCACATAAAAAAGCCTAAATTAGTCACACACTGTTTGTGGGAATATAAACTGGTATGACATTTCTGGAGGGCAGTTTGGCATTATGTCTCAAACTCTTAAATCGATCCAGCAGTCCCAATCCAGGAATTGAAACCAAAGCTGTGGTTCACAAATGTGATTGCACACATAATCTCCTAGGAGTGCTTTTTAAAATCTGCCGATTCCAAGGTTTCTTCCCCCAGAAATATGTAACAATTGACATTTTAAAACAAGCAGTCCTCTTGATTTTCACAGTGTTTAACAAACAGGTTGTCAAAGAGATAATAATAATAATAATAAAAGAGGTAAAGGCTATAAATAGAAAAAATGTTTTAGTTGTAAGAGTCCTTAAAATTGAAGGAAATTAGAAAATCTGTCATTCCACCTATTTGAACCTCAGTTTCCTTGTGTTTGCAATAAAAGTACAGGCCAGGCGCAGTGGCTCACGCCTGTAATCCTAGCACTCTGGGAGGCTGAGGCAGGTGGATTGCTCAAGGTCAGGAGTTTGAAACCAGCCTGAGCAAGAGTGAGACCCCGTCTCTACTATAAATAGAAAGAAATTAATTGGCCAACTAATATATACAGAAAAAATTAGCCGGGCATGGTGGTGCATGCCTGTAATCCCAGCTATTTGGGAGGCTGAGGCAACAGGATTGCTTGCACCCAGGAGATTGAGGTTGCTGTGAGCTAGGCTGACACCATGGCACTCACTCTAGCCTGGGCAACGAAGTGAGACTCTATCTCAAAAAAAAAAAAAGTACATACCCAATGATGCTATTGTGAGATTAAATAAAAAGATACACATAAATGGCTTAGACAAGTGACACATAGTTAAAGACCAATAAATGCTCACTATTGTTAATGCAATACTGAGTGAAAAAGTCATTTTAATAATAGGATGTATAATATGATGCAATTTTTGAAATATTATTTATATGCACATGTATATAAGTACATGCAGAAATGTCTGAAAGCATGTTCAAATATTAACAGTGATAATTTCTTCATAGTGGAATTTTGATAGATTCTCCTCTCTGCAATTTTGAATATTGTTTTCCTTGTTTTACAATTAACAGTTATCCTTTTTCCTACAAAATTTAATATCTAAGTTCAAAAATATATAGTTCACATTACATTTGCATAAAACTTCCATTTACAGAAAATTTTCGCATGTATTATCATGTGACCTTCATACAGCCCTATATATGAGAAAGGACATGTCCTATTATTCCTATTTTACAGCTGAGGCAACTGAGGAAAAGTGGTATACTTGAGGTTACCCACATACAGCTAAATCCACACTTGCAGATTCGAATCTCAAACCCAAGTTTTCTGAGTCCAATATTGGCATACCTTCTACTACTGTACGATGCTTCCTCACTGATCCTGGTCATATTTTTTCAAAAGAAATGGGATTCCAGTTTTACAAATTTCTATTTTTCATGTATCCACCCAACTTACTAAAAAAAAGCTAAGCACTTGATAAAACTGAGATAAATTGAACATTTAAAAGGTTGAGATGAAAACATACGTAAGTCGGGAAATAAAATTAGGTCTGCTAGAAACCTTAACCATCTCATGTGTTGTGAGCTTTGGTTACTAGGTAATCCTCTAAATATAGGACTGCTGAAAGTTAACAGACATTTCACAAGCAAGGAAAATGAGCTGATAATTGTGTAGAATGTGGACTGTCACCTGGCGGCCCGAGTTGCCCTGAGGTTTTCGCCTCCCAGCCACCTGGGCCAGGGTCTGACGGAGTTCCCGCCAAGCAGCCTTGGCTTTGGACCACGCCCGGAATCGGGAAGGCTCCGCATGGCCGCACCGTCCCGGCGTCGCAGCGTGGCCGTCACCGCCTCGACCGAGGAAGGGGGAGCGCGGCGTCTGCGCCGTGGGGCCGCGTCGCCCTCTAGTGGCAGGAAGAAATGCGTCCTGGAAGACGCGCCCGGAGGTGCTGAGTCAGCGCTACCAGAAGCTCTCTGGCTGCGGCTGCGCAGCAGATCTAGGGACACTCCCTAGGTTTGACGGAGAAGGCTCTTTGCTGGTCCCAAACACTTACTTGAGTCCTGATAATTCTCACCATCAAGGATTTGAATTCTCCATCTAAAATAATTTTATGTAAGTCAGCTCTACTTCTACTTAATAAGGGCATTTGACAAGGGAGGATTTGGAAGCAGCGCATAATACAAGCGGGACGTCTGCAGCACGCAACTCCAAGACCCAAGACTGTGCTCCGACACCGCAGCTGACGGGGAAGGCCGCTCAGGTCCCACCGAGTCTGGGGTAAGTAACAGCCCACCTCCCTAAGTCAGTCTGCCTCAGAGATCAGCTTCGTTTGTGGTGTAGATCTCTCATATGATCAACCATATGTGTGTACATTACATTTTTTAACTCCAGTATATGTTGTTTACTCCAGACCATATTTTAATATATACAGTTTTTCTGGATTGGGTGCACTTACTGTACCCTGAATTTACAGACGGCACCTCGTCTCTTTTAATTTAGGTTGTAAACTCTCTTGGGGAAAAGAAAGGAGTAGCCAGTCTGGCTAAAAAAAAGAAGAATGTGAGAGGTAAAATGTTAAAAACAGGGTGAACATAAGAGAAATACAAAGAACTCAATTTTTCCTACCATTGAGAGAAAGCCATGACCCCATAAATTACAAATACAAAGTCGTTGTCAGGGACTTTGCTATTTTCCCATTAAAATCCTATTTCCTTATTTCCCCCTTCCTGCAATAGAACATCAGAGCCAATCACGCTTGCCAGGTATAAGAAAACAAGTTTGTGCATAACTACAACAAACATTCTCCCTCCCTAAAAATATTTCAAAACAAAACTCCAATACATGTGACGGGATAAAGCTACCACAAAACTATGAGCAATGATTAAGAAGTTGGCTGAGGTGATGCACTCCTAATGAGTATTTAGCCAATCAGATAACTCAGTTTGGAAACAGGATGTTGTTATGTTTCAAGATATTTAAATACCATCTTCTTGAATGGTAGCATTTTCTTCTTTGTATTGCATTGTATTTTCTTAACTGTGGCAGTATGTTGTAAAAATATGGTAGAGATAAATGTAGACAAATTGAATATGACAAATATTTATTGAGCATCTACTTTGTCCCAGGAATTGTGCTGGTCCAAAGAAATATGGTAGTGAACAGTGCAGACTTGTTTCTCCTCGTAGTAATACACATGTAGTGGAAACAGACAAATCAACAGGCAGCAATCCCCAAGATCATGTACTGGGAACTACAAGAGGACAAAGGAGGGACACCTGGCTCAGTCTTAGGCATCAGGCACAGAAAGAACTGTGATCTAAGCTCAAATCTAAAGGAAGAGTATGAGTTAGCAAGAGGTAAAGAAAGGTTAAGACTATTCAAGGCAGATAAGGAAAACAACCAAGGCTTACGGGCAAGTGAAAGTGTCTCGTGTCCTGGGACTGCTACTGCAGGTTGAGTGTGTCTGGAGCACAGGTTTAGAGAGGATAGTGTCTGGAAAGAATGAGAAAAGAAAGAAAGGCCAGATCATAAATCATCTTCTATGCGATGGTATTGATTTATACTTTATTCTGAAAACAGTGAGAAGCACTGAGGAGTGTATAGCAGGAGGGTGACATAATCAGATGTGAAGTCTGAACACCCTGGCCGCAATGGTTATAGAGTATGGATAGGAGAGCAAACTGGGGACAGGGAACGCAGTTAATAAGTTACCACAATACTATGTTAATCCAAGTGAGAGGTAGTAGTCTTCTAAAGTAGTAAGGATGAAGAAAAAAGGAAAGATTGAAGTGGTTTTAAGAAAAGAGAATCCATGAGACTCAAGGATTATCTTGAGGTCAGAAAATAAAGAAGTCAAAGTCAAGAATGATCTCATTTAATATCCTGAATATAAAAACTCCTATAACTTAACAACAAAAAGAAAAAGGAATACAAAAATAAAAAAGTAGGCAAAGAACTTGAGCAGACATTTCTCCAAAGAAGATATTCAAGTGGCTGATAAGCACGTGGAAAGACTCTCACTGTTATTAGTCATTAGGGAAATGCAAATCAAAACCACAATGAGATGCACTTCATACCTACTAGGATAGCTATAATCAAAGGAGACAGAAAATGAGTGTTGGCGTGGATGTGGAGAAACTGGAACCCTTGTACATTGCTAGGAGGAAAGTAAAATGATACGGCCACTGCGCAAAACAGTTTGGCAATTCCTCAAAAAGCTAAGCACGGATTTAGCATATTACCAAGCAATTATGCTCCTAGGTATATAGACAAAATAATTCAAAATAAGAAATTAAATAGATATTTGTATGCAAATGCTCATTGCAGCATTATTTACAACACCCAAAAAGTAGAAACAACCTAAGTGTTTATCAACCGCAAATTGGATAAACAAGATGTGGAGTATACATACAATGGAATATTATTTAGCCATGAAAAGAAATAAAGTTATGCTAGATGCTACAACATGGATGACTGTTGTAAATATTGTGCTAAGTGAAATGAGACAGACACAAAAGGACAAGTATGATTACACTTATATAAAATACTTGGAATAGGTAAATTCATAGAGACAGAAAATAAAATAGTGGTTACCAAGAGCCAGGAGGAGAGAGAAATGGGGAATTATTGTTTAATTATTATAGAATTTCTATTTGGGGTGGTTAAAAGTTTTGAAAATAAACAGTCATGATTGCACAACATTGTGAGTATAGTTAATGGCACTAAACTATTACACTTAAAAATGGTTTAAAGGCAAACTTAAATGGCAAATATATGTAAAATATTACATATATTTTAGCACAATTTTTAAAAATTAATAATGTATCAGACCAAACAAATCTCACATTAAATTGTACACCTTCAATGGGTGAATGGTATGGTATGCAAATTATACCTCAATATTAAGCCATAAAGACAACAAAAAGCAACAATGAAAAGAATGGCACTCAGATTTCTGACTTGGCAAATAAGTTGACAGGGCTCTTACTCACTAAGATAAGGGGAAAGTATATAGTTTGAGGAGTAAGTTCAACTTGGGTATGCTGAATTTGAGATGTCCGTCAGACATACAAATGGAGATGTACAGTATACAGTTGACTATATGTGTCTGAAATTTGGAAAAGAAATCTTAATTTGAGGTAAAATTCAAGCTGGGAATGGTAACCCACACCTTAATCCCAGGAACTTAGAAGGCTGAGGCAGTAGGATCACTTGAGGCCAGGTGTTCAAGATGAACTTGGGCAACATAGCAAGAATAGTCTCTAAAAATAAAACAGTAAAATTCATAGGCCATCAGCATGTACACTTGAATTCAAACCCTGAGAGTAAATGGAATTAGTTAAGGAATATGCAAATGGACAGATAAAAGAACCAAGGAGAGAATCCCAAGGTTTATTGATATTTAAGGGGTAGCCAAGCAGAGACGTTCACAAAAAGTCTGAGGGCCAATATAGGAAGCAAAGCATTTTAAGAAAGAACACACTGTGGGGAAAGTGTGACATTTTTCACATCTCATGCCACTGTATTGTATTTACAATTATTTCCTTTCTATTTAAAAAAAAGAAAAGGTTGCAGAAATTGCAGAGAAGTTTTATAAGAAGAAAAATCATTAATGCCTCTTTTTGTCTTGACACCTAAAATCCGAGTTGTTTCAAATTAGAAACCTTGACTTTTAAACCTTCAGAAAAACTCTGCCATATATATCAAACAAATCTAACCAGTTTGCTTATTGAGAGAGAGAGAAAGAAACATACAGTCAGTGGGGAAGAAAAGCAGGCAGGTCACTATTAGTTGCAACTTAAAGGAAAAGGAAAAAATGCTCTTTAATCTAAAAATCTTTTCCTTTTCTACTCCTTGATGCTGAAACCCCTAGAACAGAAAATAAAATAACTTTTAAAGTTAAAAATAAGGTTTTAAAACCAAATACTCAAATCAAGAGACATATTATGTGAAGAAATACTGGACAATAATTTTTCAAAACTAATGAAAGGCATGACACCACAGATTCAGGAAGCTCAGTGAATTCAAAGAAAGATAAATACAAAGAACCACAACTAGGTACATCACAGTAAAATCCTAAATACTAAAAGTAAAGAAAAATGTTTTAACATTTAGGCAGTCATATAAAACAGACACATTTCTTTTTTTTATTATTATTTCAGCATATTATGGGAGTACAAATGTTAGGGTTACTTATGTATATTGCCCTGCCCCCACCTCGACTCAGAGCTTCAAGTGTGACCATCCCCCAGATGTTACACATCTCACTCATTATGTTTGTATATACCCCCCTTCCACTTGCCTGACACCCAATAAATGTTTTCCTATATGTCCACTGAGGTGTTGATCGTTAATACCAATTGCTGGTGAGTGCATGTTGTGCTTGTTTTTCCATTCTGAGATACTTTCACTTAGTAGAAGGAGCTCGCAGCTCTATCCAGGAAAATGCAAGAGATCGCTATATCCACCATTGCTTCTTAAAGCTGAATAGTACTCCATGGTATACATATACCACATTTTTATTATTCCACTCATATTGATGGGCATTTGAGTTGTTCCACAACTTTGAATTGTGAATGGTGCTGCTATAAACATTCAATTGCAGGTGTCTTTTTTATAGAGTGTCATTTGATCTTTTGGGTAATGCCCAGTAGTGGAATTGCTGGATCAAATGGTAGACCTACTTGTATCGCTTTAAGGTATCTCCACAGTCCCACCAGCAGTGTAGGAGTGTTCCTCTCTCTCTGCATCCACACCAAATTTATTGTTGGCTTTTTGATAAAGGAACATTCTTACTGAAGATGAGTGATATCTCATTGCAGTTTTGATTTGCATTTCCCTGATGATTAGAGATGTTGAACATTTTTTCATATGTTTGTTGGCCATTATTCTGTCTTCTTTTGAAAAATATCTGTTCATGTCCTTGCCCATTTGATAGGTTTTTGATTTTTCTTGCTGGTTTCCTGAGTTCTAAATAGAGTCTGTTATCAGCCCTTTCAGGAGTTAGCTTGCGAAAATTTTCTCCCATTCTATGGGTTGTCTGTTTGCTCTCTGACAGTTCTTTGGCTGGTGCAGAAGCTTTTTAATTTGATCAGGTCCCATTTATTTATTTTGTTTCTGCTGTGATTGCCTTTGGGTTTCTTCATAAATTCTTTCCCTAGGCCAATGTCTAGAAGGGTATTTCCAATGTTTTCCTCTAGAATTCTAACAGTTTCACACCTAAGGTTCAAGTCTGTTATCCAGCGTGAGTTGATTTTTGTGAAAAGTGACAGGTGTGG